TTCAGGGATTGCAGTGTGTGAAGGAAAAATGTGACATTGCACTGTTCTTCCGTTGGCCAGAGGAGAACTGGCCCCCCGACTGAGTCTGGTTTCTCCCAAGGTTTTTTTCTCCATTCTGTCACCTGATGGAGTTTTGGTTCCTTGCCACTGTTGCCTTGGATTTTGGCTTGCTTAGTTGGGGACATTTAACATTTAATATTCAATAATATTATTGATCTGCCTTACTTAAGGTGGACGTTGACGCAATTTCTTTTAGAAACAAACTTTGTTATATTGTTATATTGTTTTTGTTATATTGTTTTCATGTTATCACTGTGAAGCGCTTTGATACAATCTGTATTGTAAAAAGCGCTATATAAATAAAGGTGACTTGACTTGACTTGACATTGCCTTAGATTTTGGCCAAACATCATAACACATATTTTCTTGGTCCAACTTTTTTCAGCACTTTTCTTCCCTTTTGTGATGTATTGCCAGCTTCTCGAAAGAGAAAAAAAAAAAAGTAGGACGGAACTTGATTTTGTCCGTCGGGAATTGACTGGATCGTTTCCCCATTTTGATTTAATGGCGACTCATCTGTATCTCGGGAAAAAAAAGATCTCTGACAAACAAGCACATCAAATAAGGTGAAAGGTCTTCAAACCTCAAACTCTTTTTGTTATACTTTCTACGCTCTTTTCATTCTGAAAGTCATTGTGTGCACTTACCAATACTTGTGCTTTGATGCATTTTGTTTGCTCTTTGAAATTGTAATGTGTGGTTTAAGGTTATTACTCTGGCAAAGGTGTTTGATATGTAAATCTGGGAGAGGATCAAATGAGAAGAATAATAGAAGTCAAAGAGAAAGAACAAGAGCAGCTCTGCCCATTCAGATAAACAGCTCTCTGAGCAATACCCAGCATCCCCTGCTCTCAGTTCACTGAAAACCACTAGCCTTGAGACATGCGTTTTTGTCTGTGCTGTTTTAGAGTTGGGGTGGTTGAGACTTTTTCACTGTGCCTACACCAAATGTAAGCATTATATTGTGCTTATAACCATATACAGGTGTATATTCCAAAAATGGTAATATTTTAATATTAATGACAATGTATAACCATTAATACTTCATTTCCACTTCTAATATTCTTTGGACTATTTGCCACATCCGGATTTTTCATTAATAGTAAAATAATTATAATATGAAATTTGGGAACAAAGTAAAAAAAAAAAAAAAGCTTTATCTTAATAATAATAAGTCTTTAGCTTCTAAAAATAGCACAGCAAACTCTGGTCATTCTCTTAGATTACAGAATGAGGTGTACACGTTTAAACAGTATTGGAGTTCCCTTGCTGGACACCTGACCTTCTTCATTCTTTTGAATTTTTTTCATTATTACAATTTTAGTTTTGTAAGATTAACTGACATGCACGAATGTATTACATGAATGTATTAAACATGTCAAGAATTCAATCATGAGCCTTTAAATTAAATGATTTTTAAGATCTCAAGAAAAGAAAATCATCCAAATTCATCCAAATACGCAAGTGCTACTGCACAACAGTCAATACACACGCATTACCCGTAAGGGCGCTTCTCAGCAAATGTGTTAAATGTCAACAAGCTAATACTCAAGTAATACTTTACAAATATAATAATCGAGATAAATATTGATTTTATTTACTAGTTGTCATGGAAAAAACTCACATTTCATTATGTACAGTTTACTTAGTAATACGGCATGCTCAACACTGTTTGTTTGGAGTTTTAGTCGGCACACATTGTACTTTCAGAGGTCATTCAAGCGGGCTGAGCAACAACTCATACGGATTTTCCATGCAAACAAATGGGACAGCAGTTATCAATAAACCGTGGCTGTGAACTTTCAACACCTCTGTTTGAGCCAAACACATTTCACATCAGAAGGAAAAAAAATCAAATGTAACATTAGAGTCTCTGCTGATTCTCTAGATGGCAGTAATATGCCTCACTCATTCACATATCACATCAAAACCGTACAGCATGTATGAAGGCAGCATGTTACCGCATGAGGGGGGTGGGGGTTATGTCCGATCTGTCATGCTCAGGTACATTTAGATGATCTTGCAAAATGAAACCCTTCAAACTGTTTTATCTCTGTTTAAACAATTATAGCATGTTCTGGTGCTAAATTCTGGTGATTTTTTTTGCTTGGTAATGAGCAGTATTAGGAACAGTGATTGTTTGTTATAAGAAAAAATAGGGTTGTGCATCGATTAATCGCGATTAATAACTGCATCCAAAATTAAAGTTTGTTTTTAAATAATATATTAGTGTGCACTGTGTATAATTATTTAGTTTATATAAATACACACACATGCATGTATATATTTAAGAAAAAGTTTATATATAAAATATTTATATATAATACAAATGTATAAATATATATATATATATACAGAATATACATGCAAATATGTCTCAAATATATACATACATGTATACATGTACACATATATTATGTAAATACAAACTTTTATTTTGGATGCGATTAATCGCGATTAATTGTTGCACAGCCCTAGAAAAATGTAATATCAGATTAATGGAAAATAGGTTGTTTTAAGAAAGAAAATTTCGGTAGCACTTTATTTTACAGTCCTATTTCTCATGAACATACTATGTACTTATTGTAATAATGTAGTAATAACCCTAAACCTTAACCAATGTAGTTACCTTACACTACTCAGTATGGTAACACTTTATTTTACAGTGTACTTGTACTTACAATAACAGTAAATTACAGTGTCCTTGTTACATATGTTACATGTACTTACCCTAGTTTTAACAGTAAATTATGCATAATTACATGCAACTAAACCTCAACCAAACCCTAATCCTACGCTAACCCTATAGTAAGTACACGTAGTTGCTTATTATTACTCAGTACTTAAATATATAATTACACTGTAACAATGACACCTTAAAATAAAGTGTAACCCTCAGTACCTTTGTGGGTAAGTACACTGTAAGTGCATTGAAATTGTAAAATAAAGCGCAACCAAAATGTTCTTATTTTTTATACTTTTTATAAATTGAATGTAGAGTGAAAGTCTGGGCAGCAAACAATCCCCAAAATAGAGAAATTGTAGCAAATTGAACTTGAGTGAAGAAAAAATTATTAGAGACAAAAAACCTGCTATAACCCTTACTTGTAGCTGCACAAGTTAATTCATACAATTTTTTTTAAAAGCATATATTATAATTATATACATGTAATGCACACATATAAATGTGATTAATTAGTAATAACTAATTAATCACATTTATATGTGTGCATTACATGTATATCATATATGCTTTTTAAAAATAATGTATGAATTAACTTGATACAAACTTTGTTACACCATTATTAGGGTGTAAACTTTTGTGCATGTGTTTAGGTGCTTGTACATGGGAGATTCTTCAATTAGGGATTTTTTTTTCTTCTTGAATTTAAAACAAAATTCCCTAATTGAAGAATCTCCCATGTACAAGCACCTAAACACATGCACAAAAGTTTACACCTTAATAATGGTGTAACAAAGTTTGCATCCAATAAAATAGTTTTCTCTAAAATCAGTATGATCTCCCAAGGATTGGTTCTGTCAGAACTATGTGATTTGCATTTCAAAACAATATGAATAAACTAAGAAACAGTCGATTGAAATGTATTTCAGACTGCTCGCATGAAAAACAGCGAGGCTAAACTGTGCCCGTCGATGTCTGGCATTACTTTTTGAAGTCCTTTATCGTGCTTTGGGTTAGTAGTTGTGCTCCAGCCCCTCTCTTCTCTGATGTGTGGCCTGAGTTTCATTTGATTTCCTCTCATACTTGCAGCAGCATAGCTTCTGATCTTGTTTAATACTAGTCCAGCGGCAACAAATTACCAATTTTCAGAAATGAGCAGAGGTATGGCAGCTCTAAATCCTATAAAACGAGTCGCTCTTTCTTTCTTCTCAGAGAAATGTACAGCGTTGGCAATAATTCGGGCAAAATCAAAATAAAAACACACCTCAATTTTTCCCTCTGTGGATTTAGGCGAGCGGCTTTCATTGCAGGCACGTGCAGTGAAATTTAGGTAAGTGTTTTGTGAGATGCAATTTTGACGAGGCCGTTTATAAGATTTGTACGGTGCTGCTGTTTGTGTCGGTGTGTTTTCACTCCTGTTTTCTCATTAATATCAAATGCTGTAAGCCACAATAAAACGGAGAAAACACTCATTCGTAGGCCTGCTTGTGCACTTTGCATCACCAGAGAAAAAGCAATTATCCACAGCACAAGGTTTTATGTGTTGCCGATGTTAACGTTACCTTGATCCTTTCAATAAAAACACACATTGAGTTTGACAATAAAACGACATTCATATTGAGGACAGCGACATTCATATTGAGCCTCAAATAAATCATGCAAGTTGATGAGTGTTAATATATGCACTGAGAAAAAGCTGCAGTATTATAGGGTTACAACTCAACAATAAAAATTTTCAAAGAAATATTGGAAAATTAGGTGGTGGGATTTATATATAATCTCAGCATAAAAGATGATATATTCAAAAGATAAGGCCTTTAATGTTTATCCACACACTGACACACAATGTTCAGCACAGCATACCACTGTAGTGTGTGCTCTTCTGCAGCATGCTGTGCCCAGCGTATGCAAATTTTGTGAATGCCCAATGCATTTGCCAAAATAACAGCATACTGTTGTATCACTATTCCACAATGCAATGCAATTCACTTGAACTTGCATTTTCAGTATGTCAAGACATACAAATAACTATATCTTTTTATTATTATTTTCAAAATGGTAACTTTACATCAACTGCTGAATTAAACATCATGAGGTCATGTGATGACAAAGATATTTCTGTTTGTCATGATTCTGTTTATCATGGCATAATGCCTACAGTTCCACGTGCGCAGTATGCAGTAAGTATGCAAGTTTTCCCATTCTGAACATAACTATATCCATAGGCATGAAATTGGCCTTGAGAAATGACACTTACCGCACAGAGAAGGTGAACTGGTCCAGCTGATCTTTAGGGAGAGGTTTGAGCGCCTCACTGTTTCTCTCGATTATCTTCTTCTGTCTGCCGCTCTGATCGGAGAGACACATGTGCATGTCATTTGTAATCAGAGCAGGAAACAGTTGCAGTGATTTATCTTGGGAATACAATGATAGCAGTACACTTCACTCTGGCATCATCTCTCAAACACACACACACACACACACACACACACACACACACGAAAACAATCAGCACAGGAAACAAATGACATTCACATTACAGACAACATCTAATCAAAGTTGAGGCAAAGACAGAGATAGGATGAAATGAAAAGAAAGACAGTCACTAAACATTAAAGACATAAAAAAGAAATTATATGTTTATAACAGCACACCTTGCATACACAACCTACTGAAATCAACTAGTAGTAATTGTGACTCATTATGATAATCTATAAATAGTATCACAAGTGTATTGCCAACAAAAAGGTTATTCCAAAAGAAAGGCATCATATTAATACTGCCTCAAGACATTTTGTCCAAGTCTTGCAACTAAATAAGTAAAACAAATAAATGAATCCAATATGCGACAAACACAGGAAAATTGTGATTATTTGTAGATATTTCATTAAATTGTATTACTCAGTTTCAAAATATCAGTAAAACAGATCAATATAATTAAACAAAACAGTCTATGTTATCCAATACTTGAGTTTATGTATTGTATGTGTGTATTTTGTGCTTATAGAGTATTGCGTTGTTAGCTTAGCAACATGCTAATGATAACTATTCTGTTGAGTCGAGTCTTCCATGAGTTTCTGTCTGTTCCTAATTGGTCATTGATTTGGTTCCATGCCACTTAGGGTACGTTTAAAGTTTTTCCTTTGAGTTTCCTGCGTACAGACGATACCAATGTCAAAACGATCCCCATTCACACGGATCTGCAAAAACGACTAAAAACGCTGTATCCTGCTGCCAGGCCATTAGATGACTATGAAACACTATAGATTATACACTTAATATGCATGTGCATGATGTCATCGTCTTCAGAGATTTGCATTTTTGTTGTTAACTTGGAGACCGTTGGCGTTTTCAGGCACCCAAAACGCCGTTGTCGTGTAAACAAACGACCAAAACGCATAAAAACGTTTTACGTTTTTACTTGAAAATGGTGTCATGTTAACAGCCCCTTAGAAGGTAGTTAGCTCTCTGGGTTGTGGAACACGGCTTTTGGATGATTTTGGAAGGCATTTCAAAGTATGTATATGTAATTTATGAAGGGCTGCCCTAAGGCCCCATCCACACTACTGCGTTTTAGTTTAGAAACGGATAATTAAAACGAATACGATCTCCGTCCACACCAGCGTTTTAGCTGTGTATTAGAATTGATCTCTGTCCACATTAAAACGACTGAAAACGCGGATCACGTGACCATTCACCAACACTGGGCATGCGCGTGCCGGTGTAAACACAACTTCATTGATAAAATTATCCCACCATGCTCTGGGTTAACCCCAAACCGACGCTCCATGTACGGTCAATGCCGCCGCTGCACACGGGAATTGTCACAGATCGCTCGAATAATAGCTTGACTCCGGCGCATAAGGCAGTTATAGCGTTGTAAAATGCAGAATTTACTTGTACAACAACAGCTGCTAGCAAAGATATACGCCATGACTGATGACACCCAATCATAGAGCCGAGCGGGAGCCTCTACTACGTCATCGTTTCTAAAGTCCTCCGTTTTGACCCGTCTACACTAAAACGCCCTCCGGAGATTCAAAACGAAAAACGGATCGGCAGCGTTTCTAAACTTCTCCGTTTTGGGTCTCCGTTTTTGCCGTTTTAGTGTGGACGGGAGGTGCAAACGTAGCAAAAGGTCTCCGTTTTTAAACGAAAATGCAGTAGTGTGGACGGGGCCTAAAATCACTACATTCAATTACATCAAATCACTATATTCACAGAATAAATATATATATATATATATATATATATATATGTATGTATATATATATATATATATAAATAAATAATAATGTATTAAACAACACAATCTGCCACGGAACATCTCCAGACTAGCCAGCTGAAAATCTGAAGAAGACAATATTAAAGCTGCTGGAAGCCTTTTTTTTTTTTTTTACCACACATAAAATCTTCCCACTATTTTGAAGGTTTTTCAGTGAGTCCAGGGAACTAGCCAATCAGAAACTCTCAGAATTTCTGCCTGTCAATCATTTTGCGCTTATGATTTTGCCAATGTGCTTTTGGAGGGTGGGATTTGAGAAGCATGTGGTTAGAATTAGAAAAATAGCAGAAGTTAGCCAAAAGGCTGAAATCACTTAAAGCACAGAAGAGTCATAATGCAATAAAAATAATGAAATAAATATATAAATAATAAAAATATTAAATAAATACAAGTTAAAATGGACATTTTGGACCCAGTTATGTATTTGAAAAAAAAAAAAAAAACAGTTGTGACAGACATCACCCAGAATCAGTATCTGCAGAATTAGCCAGTCACTCTCTCATAATGAACCACACTCGTGGCATTTAAATAATAATAAAATCAACACCACTCAATACATTTCAAACGAAACCTCAACTGAGTCAGCAGGTTATTAAAGTCTGTGTTCTGAACCTTCCAACACCAGGGCCATAACCACCATAGACATTGAGGAGATATGGCCAAGTCCCACTCAATAATCAGATATGGCCAAATTTTCTCCCCAGTAAATGATATTCTTGATGATGTTCTGCTGCATTCCATTACGCACCGCTCTGTTTGTTGTCATATTTCACCTTTTTGAATTGAACATTTTCCTTTATCATTTATGTGATTCAGGCGATGTATTTCATGATTAAATGTGACGAGATAAACATTAACATAGCCGTTTTTCAGTATATTAGCCCCCACACGGTATAGTCTCTCTTCAACACACTGATGAAAACAGAGGTGTACTTTCTTAAAGTAGTAAAAACATACATATGCATTTAAAAATAGATTCCAAACTTTTTCAAACTGGATGATGACAAATATATTCATGTTCTACTTTTTGTTCTCTTTCAGTGCAGTCTTAACTTCACTGGGCTGGACCAAATTTTTCTGGAAGCCCCCCTCCCCCAGATACACTAAGTACTAGCGACCCAGCAGTGCTAAAGCACTAGAGTTTGGCAATATAACAATTCTTCATACTCCCTCAAATACAGAACTATTCACTCAGAAACAGAGGTAGATAGAACAAAACAAGGCAAGAAACGGGGGTCTAATGGGGGTATTTTCAGCAGTCTTGTCACAAAAGGAGTCATTCTGAGCTGTAGCAGAGAAGAACACTGGGTGCTAATATTGTTTGTTAGTCTGTCATTCAGTCTAGTGCACTAGGCCCTTGGGTTGGCTCAGACGCACTGCTACAGCAGATACTGCCTGCATCTACATATCAATGAGTTCCCCCATATTGAAGATCACCGTCAAACTATGTCACTATGTTGAATTGAATGGCTGGCTTTCAGGTTTAGGCAGGTTCACATTATTCACATCATCACTATACTGGTGAAGATTGCGTGACTTTGATGATAAGAAACAGCCAGGAATATAAATATAACATAAAAAATAAAATGTGTTCCAGGAAATGTGTTTAAGGAATATCCTCTTGAAATTGAATGCCTTTCAAATGATCAGTTGTTTATTATACAAAATGGTAACAGAGCTGACAAGAGCTCCGATTCGTGAACGAGCTGATTCTTTTCAATTAACCCGTTTAATCAGTTAGCAAATTGAATTGAACCCAGTCGATTGCATCTGTTCTCAAATCAACAACTCACTGAATCAAATGATCCGGTCAAAGCGAGTCTCCAGTTAATATTTCTCTGAATTTCACTTGGCTCAAAATGAACCAAGAATGGGAGATCCTCGGAGCTTGAGTGTGTGTGCAACTAATGGAAAAAAAAAGTAAGTTACTAATACAGAATACAGGTTTTCGTATTATTGTAAATGAAAATCGTATTTAGGTCACAACTGTCAGTTGTTTGTGAACTTAATCAGCTGTAAAAGGGTGAGCTGCTTAAGCCAGTTGAAATGCTTGAATGTCCACATTTGTGTATTAACGTCTGAATGGTATGTTTTAAGTAAAAACTGAACATAACGTTGAAATAACCCAAATGAATTATGTAAAACTAGTATGTTTGCCAAGCTTTCTTTTTAACATGTTAACACATTTTACCCTGTCACGTCTGGTTTCATATTGTATGTTTATATCTTGTCACACATTTACACACATTTAGTTTTTCCTCATTTATATATATAGTACTATATGGAATATATTGTTATTTCCACTTGTTTGCACACTTGAATTAGGCCTATCAGTAATTATCAGTAGGAGTTATCAGTGTATGGTTTTGGTAATAAATAAAAATGCAGATCAACTTGCAGATCAATACATATTAAGTGTCTACATAATCTTCTATGATTGACTAGAGCTGGCTACTTGAAAATTCATAATACGTCATAATGATGCCAGACTAAGCTGTAAACTATGTAAGCTCTATCTGTGTGTCCAGTACATTATAACCTCTCCCCCACATGTATTTTGAGCAGTAGGATGGAGTATACAAAGTAGCAATTTAAACATTAATTTATCAGTACTTTTCTACTTTTACTCGAGTAAAATTGAAAAGGAGAACTAAATACTTTTACTGGAGTAATATGTATTAGGGCATCTGTACTTTTACTCAAGTAGGCCTACTTGATTTGTGTACTTCATCCACCACTGCTTTAAAGGGGAGAAAAAAAATGGTAAAATCATGTTGGCCTGATGACACAAAATATTAATATATTATGTAAACTAAAATTTAATGGGATCTTTAGACATGTATAAAATGGAAACATTTTAGAACAACCCATTTTCTATCCCTGAAAATCAAACCCACAACTTCTGCATTGATACTTATTGCTATAAACAAATTGTAACTGTTGATCATGACATAATATGGATAACGAGGACAATTTCTAAGACAATGTGCACACGTCCATACCTGGAATTAATCTGCAGATGCAAAGACAAAAAGTGGAATGAGAGAATGCGTAATGCACAGCCATGCAACATAAGACAGCAGCACCAGATCATCACTGAGAAGTCATTCTGCAATTACCACTTCAAAGTGTGGCAGGTAATGCCGCAGCTTTGATTCATTTAGCGTAAGTCCTGTGGAGCGCGGGAAAAGGCATGTTGGGAGTGGTTAGAGAGAGAGAGAGCCGGGCTGGCACTGCTGATTTCACAGAATCTGAGCTGTTTTGGCTTGTCGAGCACATCAAAACTAGCTTTGAAGACTGAAAAATACCTGTTAGTGTGAAATGTATTTTGACAAATCTCAGATAATAAGGGGAACATAGGGAGGCAAGAGGGAGGAGCAGCAGGGAGCACCTTTTTTTCTTTTTTCTTTTTTGAGAGGGCACTAGTGGCGGTCCTGGCTCACTTGGTGCCTTAGGCTAGATAGACATGACTAAAAAAAAAACATGTAATGTAATTACCCAAAATAAAAAAAAACTGTTTGTGTGTGTGTACAGGTTTATATTACATTGTGGGGACCAGATGTCCCCACTAGGATATTCAAATCTGAGATCACCTATAATGTGGGTACCAGCTAACCTGGCCCTAGCCAGATGAATTTCGCTTCGCCTAGCTTCACTCACATCCATCTGGAACCGATCCATTGAAATTGCGTTTCAGAAGGCTGGGCCTTATCAAAAATCCTTGCATATGATTGGATAAGACACTTGTCTGTCATCTTTATCGACGTGCTATTTCAACCACTCACACCGAAGCCAACCCGTGACGCTGAAGAATCCGGTCGGGAGAAGGCACTGATCTATATAACATCGTTTCCACCAACAAAAGCCTTAAGAGCCGTTCTCTGATGTTCTTTTAATGAAACAATATTAGGTAGATTGGACAACACGGATGAAATAGCAGCATCAATGTTAACGCTTGTTTCCTCGATGCGAGCCGCCATTGTTGTCTGAATCAAAACAGTCTCACGGTCGCTTCTCCACTACGTCACATCTATGAAACTCCCGCCCTGCGTCCTGATTGGCTAAACCATAAAGTTGGTTGGAGAAATCACTCTCAATGGAAGAGGTTCCAGATGGATGTGAGTGAAGCTAGGCGGAGCGAAATTCATCTGGCTAGGGCCAGGTTAGGTACCAGCCAGAAGACCCCACAAAGGAAATGAATTAATAAACATACTAAATTATGTTTAAAAAAAAAAAAAAATTTATGTAAAAATACAGAACGTTTTCTGTGATGTTAGGGAATCGAAAATCCAGTTTGTATAGTATAAAAATCATTACACCTATGGAGAGTCCCCACAAAGATAGCAAAATCGAGTGTGTGTGTGTACCAGTGAATCCCCAATAAAATTTAAACAAAAAGGTTCAGATAGTATTCATTATATCAAACTAGTTTGTGAAATATGCCTTTGTTTCATGTCTTTTTTTTCTTTTCTTTTAAATAGTTCCATAAGATTCCATGCATTTAGACAATTTGTATTGTGTGCGTGCGTACCTGTGAATCCCCAATAAAATAAAATAAAAAAAGATTGAGAATTATACTATAGTATATTAATTATATCATACTTGTTTGTGAAATATGTTTGTTTTTATGTCCTTTTTTTATAGTTCCTTAACATTCCATGCATTTAGAATTTTTATATTGTGTGCGGTACATATACTATGCCAAAAAAAAAATTTTCACTCTTTTAAGTCTACTCGACTTATAAATGTTGGGGCGGGGTTTGAATGGGCATGACGCCTCTAAGGAGAAGTGAGAGAGATGGTCCAAGATCAAAGTTAGAAGTCTCCTTAGTCACAAAGTTACCTTTCTACGAATTTCGGCCTTGGTTTTGTCAGCGACGGGGCGGTTCGTCTGGATGCTGGGCTCATAGGCTGACACAGCTCCGGTGGGGCTCTTATCTGCAATCACATTACAAACGTCCGAATATATCTTATGATCTATGATTTATAGTTTGATTAATTAAAAAAGGATTGCATAATATAATACCTTAGCAGACAAAGCAAAAAAAGCACACAGAAAAAGACCTTTGATGTAAGGTAAAATAAAATAAAATACCTATAAAGCAAATCAGCCAATTTAAATACATAATTGTAGCTTCTTTTTTTTTAATTCTGAAAAGAGTGAAAACAAAAGGATATAAATGATATACTATGTACATAAAGCAGAAGCATAAAGCACAACTGATGAGAACAGTGAATGTATATAGACTTTCAACAACATAAACGAAATGTACAGCTAAAGAAAAAGTGATGAAACTTTCTCTTCACATATCTTCCGTTCTTCCTCTCTCACACACACATCATCAACATCTCTGAGCCCAACCTCTCCTTTTTTCATTGCTTTAATGCACACAATTAGACATGATGAAAAATCGAAAAAAAATTAAATTTAGTTGTAATACATTTTGCCATTCTTCCTTCCTTTGGAAAATTACTTTTGAAGTGTTTTCTCTCGCTCTCCGTCTGTAATTTAAATGGTAAGCTGCCAGATGTGTGTCTCATGCTTGAAGTGCAGGAGCTTTGCATTATTTAGCATATTAACATTCACAGAATTTAAAAAGAGGGTTCCTGCATTGCCTGGAGCTTCCAATTAAGTAAACCTTAGCTTGATACATGTAAAAATTTTACCATGAGAAACTTTTTTCATTGCGTTTTTCTCTTCGCCTCAGCCAGTCACATCTATATAATAAATATGGAAACTTCCCAGATGATATAATTTTTCTCTTGCTGCGGGATTAAATATATCAGTAATAATAACTTTTAAATATAGGCAACATATCAGGAAGGCTTCAGAAGACTCAAATAGGTTTTAATAGCAGAGCGTTCAGAGCTGGTATGTCCTCTGTGATGTTTTTAAACTGATATTACACTTAATTTGAACGCAGGTGTAGGTTTTAATTAATTTTAAATTTTTCTAGTAAACATTTGAGATGCCTACAGGTAAAAGCATTACATCTGCCCTATCTTAACATAAATATGGGTGGTTATTTCATTATAATGAACGCATAATCATGTTCAGTTGGATGGCTTACCTCTGATGCGCTGTCTTTTCACTGTGGTGACAAGGCTTAAGAAATACCGTACGAAACGGAAACATATTACATGCATATTCTACTGCTGATGCTTTAAAAAGTCAAAAAGTGTCGGAAGGGAAATATGTCTTCTACGGAAGACGTGTCAGACTGTTTTCTCTTGGAAGAGACACAGTTAATGACCCACGAAACCATATGGGGTTATATTTAAAAAAAAGGTTTATTCAAAACCTTCAAGTTATGAGAACGGCCCTAGTGGCTCGCTGCCATTCAACATCGGTGTGCTTGATTCATAATGGTTTTGTAATATTTTTTTCACATGATTGCCTCCAACAGTTCATTCCAATGTACCAGGGGAGTTAATAGCCTATTTTCTTTTCTATGCTGAAACTTTCTGCATTTTATTATTATTTTGTCCTACATGTTGCTCATTAAAGAGTCTGGATGGCAACAATGCATTACTTAGCTTTGACAATGTCAAGTCAAGTCAAGTCACCTTCATTTATATAGCGCTTTTAACAAAATAGATTGTTTCAAAGCAGCTTTACAGAGATAATAGGAAATCAAAGTAACAGAGATTGTTTTGGCTTTACAGCGGCTCTAGAATAAAGTTATTATCCAGCTAAAGTTGATTAAAGTTGATTGATTCACTTCCGTTGCAAAGATCATTAGTTATTAACTTAGGCGCCGCTTATACGACACCGTTTTAACTGAAAACAGAAAACTTGTAATGCGGTCTGGCTGCTCATTTGCACGACAACGGTGTTTGGTGGCTTGAGAACGCAAACTTTAAAATAGGTTCCAAGTTCTTCGTAATGATAGCAATGTAGCACTGGCGTTACGTCTCCTAGGTAAAAGGTAACCAATACAAAGTCTGACAACTACGCAAAAGTTTAGCACCATATAACAATCTATAGATTTGTACAGGTAATATATAACTTAAATCAAGCATAGAATGCAACAATTTGCAATCAATTAAGTTTTTTTTCAACAATGATACTTTATATATGCAGCATCAGATAAAAAATAAAAAGATACTGACACAATAATAAACACATTAGCCTTATATAAACTGAAGACCCCTGTCTCTGCCATGTGCAGTGCATGAAATTTTTTCGAAGCTTTCGACTGTTCCGATCTACGGCCTGCAGCAATGTGGAGCAAAAGCCTGCCCTCCACCTCTGTTCTGTGTCCAGAGACTGTAATCCCTGTCAGCAGAGCATTCTGCCTGCCTTTGCGCCACGATCATGCATGTTTTAATGGGCCAGCCAACACAACTTTGTAACTTTGCCTTTAATTATCCTTCCTCCAGCCTGATGCTCAGATGGTGTCGGGTCTGAATTAGTGCTGCGTTGACAGCTGTAGGCTATGTCCATGAACTTGGAGTGCTGCAGCCACAGCCCACGTTCTCCCAGGGTGAACAAGAGAGGCTTGTTATCCTCTGCTCACCATGAACACAGAGAGAGTGGGAACCGGGCCTGAAGGGTTGGGTGACCGACGGGGACCTGTGCGCTCACCTAGGTTTCTAATTGCCCTGGTGTCGGTTCCAGAGTTGCAGAAATTCAAAGGTCAGTGAATTATTGATTACCCATGAGCATAATCCATGATTCTCATAATTACCCAATGTAATAGGGATAATCAAAACAAAGGGATGCAGAATAGAACACATTTTTTCAATAAATTATGCACAATGAAATTGTTTAATACCATATGTAATATTTTTAAAAAGCATTGCTTCAACAAGGAGCAACTTATGATAGATTGCATATTTGAACTAAAAATTACGTATATTCACGAAATGTTCTTTTTATATTATATTATATTATATTATATTATATTATATTATATTATGCTATATATTATAGTATATGACCGTGGGAATCCTGTGAGTTTTTATATATATATATTTGAAGATTAGCACAATTACAATGATATCATGTTTAAAAAAATTGCATTATACAAGGCTTGTCACATCAGAGCAGTTTGTTTTTCTTCACATAAGCTAAGCAGCCTTTGGGAATGTCTGTCCGACTCCATCACACTCACCACAAGAGGCTAAATTTTTCTCATCTGCTAATAAACAAGTTTGATGTAAGCAAGGTTAATTCATCCATTTAAAGACGGGCAGTGGTAAATTAATTGGGGAAAGAATGCAGTGTGATTTAGTGAGTATGATCCTGTATTAGGGTTATCCGCTGTGACCGGGACTGGCCCCTTAGCGACAACAATATAAAAGAGCACGGCCGTGTTCCAGAAACACTCTAAGAGAAAATCGTCGAAATTGTCATTGCGCTGAAGGGCCCAGTGTACAATGATGCATTTACTTAAGGGGCAGGACACAATCAAACATAGCTTCCAAAAGCCCAGCCCACTTCATGCAGTTACAGATCCACAAAGGGTGATCAGAGCAGAAAGGCCTAATTTAATTAGTCATTTGAATTCAAACAGACCTAGTGTAACCGGATCGTTCACTTAATGTGAAAGGTCAGTTAACTCATAACGCCTGCAGCTATGTCATATGTTGCAATAGAGATAGCATTCTCTGTGGTTTTAAATGAGGTAATATATATATATATATATATATATATATATATATATATATATATATATATATATATATATATATATATATATATATATATATTAGCTGTCAGTGCTGCTATTTGACATGTCTGAGCATTACAAAATTACCCAGAGATGACAAGGAATGTACCTGTATCCTAACTGGATTTTTTAAGAGAAAAGGACTGGAATGGACTGTCATAACTACAGTACAGTAGTACATAGAGTATTATTATAATAATTAATCGTATTATTGTTATTATTATCATCGTAACTATCTCGATACACAAAGACACATTTCTGAAAAGGAATGTTAAGGAAGGTACATTCAAATCTTACTTTACCATCTTTATACAGTCAAGCAATCATTTAGAAAAAAAGTATATATATATATATATATATATATATATATACACACTGTCCATTACTGGACTGTGTTTAATCATGTGCTTTTCTGCGGTAACTAACAAAAAGTTAAACTATATATATATATATATATATATATATATATAGTTTTACTTGTTGTTAGTTACCGCAGAAAAGCACATGATTAAACACAGTCCAGTAATGGACAGTGTGTATATATATATATATTAGTGCTGTCAAACGATTAAAATATTTAATCGCGATTAATCGCATTAATGTCATAGTTAACTCGCGATTAATCGCATTTAATCGCACATTTTTATCTATTCTAAATGTCTCTTGATTTCTTTTTGTCCCATTATTTTTTTCTCATTTTAATGCTCTTATCAACATGGAAAAGTGGATCGGCTTGCTTTGTGCAAATGTTTTTTATTGAAAACAATATTGGCATATACTGTTCAATTTCACACTAAAACATTATCACTTGGAGCAAATAATCTCTCACACAATATAACACTGTCCATCAATAAAAGGGTGAAATAAATACTGACGAGGTCCTGATATTGACGAGGGGGCGGAGAATTCGCATCAGCTGTGTGTGTGTGTGTGTGTGTGTGCTGGCCATCATCAAGTGGTATTCAGACTGGACGTGCTGCGATGATGATAGCTCAGTTCACAACGACAAAACACACAGATCACTTTGGTCTTGTCAATGGAACCATTTGGCAACTTTTTAAAAGTAAACTTTCCATTCAGAATCTTATTGGCATCCATTTCGGCGTCTCACGCTCGTCATCCACTCAAAACTGGACGTTTTGAACGTTCCTATAACATTCAGGAATAAAGTTTTTATAACTTAATGGGAACGTTATGAAAACATTCTTATAACCTAAAATTGTTAGCTGGGGAAGAGGAGAGATTCGCGATTGCACTGAACAC